GTGACGGCCACAGCACAGCGATCTGTGACGCCTGTTACGGCGACACACAGCGATCTGTGACGGCGACAGCACAGCGATCTGTGACACCTGTGACGGCCACAGCACAGCGATCTGTGACGCCTGTGACGGCGACAGAACAGCGACCTGTGACGCCTGTGACCGCGAGAGCCCAGCGACAAGGCGAGTGGACCTGCGTTAGGGACAGGTAAGTATACATCTCGTATCTGACAAGGTGTTTACATCAATGAGGCACATCGGCTGCTCGCATGAACTGAACTGGCACTGTGTAACATATGTGACGGACAAGAGCACTCCACAAGTTTCACGTCAGCTACAAAATTATTGCATATAATACTTCATACTGTGAAATACGGGTATAGCTTCTCTTGGCTTAATTGTTAGGAATGAGAGAATTTTATCGGATATTTCTTTCCTCTTAACACTGAAGTTTGCGTAGGTTAGCTCAGTAACTCCACCAGACTGTCTAGGCAGTAGGTGTACAGCCAATTAGATCAGAGCCACTCTCTGCTTCATCCAATAAGAGTCAGCACGACAAACATTCAAATAAATCTGCATAAGTAAGATAATTATGAACTCCATCTCACCTTTTATCATGTACGTGCATGAGAATGTACAATCTTCCCCCGAGTATTAAGCCACTAGTGGGTCCACACCTTCTCCTTGTTCATGTCAGCCAGTTCATCGATACAAATCGCCTCATCCATTAAATTAGACGCCAGAGCTACATCATTCCACTTTACTTCGATCCTCCATTTCTTCTAGCAGTAACACTGTTCCATCTGCCGATGTGTTCCTCAACAATGAAATTATAATGATGCGCACCATTCCAGTAACAAAGTGCGACTACTCAGCAGACCGTTTTGAATCAGACCACGCATCTGTTTGTTGTTACCGAAATTCTCCTGCGTTAGTTATCTACCGATCCTACTTCAGCATGCAGACTGTGTAGCGTCGGACTGTAGTGTGATTGAAGGATTGGGAGCATCTCGATTGAAGTGGTCCAGGCCTATTTCAGGAATGTTGATAGAGGGGCTAAGGTGAACAATGAAACCCCACAGGCTGGACAGCCAATATCCAGACAGAGATTCGAAACTAGGGCCTCACAAACTGACTCCCACATGTTCTGTAAGACTGGGTATTACGACTCAGCTCAGAGCAGGAAGAGACCCTAGCAGTTAAATACACATCTACATGTACTATGTATGTAATGCACCTTGCTTTGTGTCTACAGGAACAAAGGCAGCCACACAGCGACAGATTACACTCTGCACGAGCGAGAGGCGCAGTGCTCAATGCTGAACAGTGCGGACGCTGTGGGGCTGGGCCTGAGGAGTGCAGCGGAAAATCAGGGGGGAGCAGAAAACTCAGTGTCTGAAGGAGATGAAAACGCACAGACACTGAGTTTACAGGCTCCTGAACTGAAAGAAAAGGATCCGTCAGCAACAGAAGCACGGCCCTTGAGCGCAAGTTCAAAGCAGGTAAGCCACTGCACCATGCACTGTGAGTGCACTTGTAGCTTGGAGGTTAATACGAGAGCTGGCTGTGAGGATGTAATATTCTGATGATGGGAAATACATTGAGTCGATCCTGGAGAAGTAGAGGAGTTCCGTGCAAACCTCATATACTTGCTATCCTATTGCAAAGATTTCTACGTCCTCGACCCCTGTGTCCGTACATTTATATTTATATTTATGTTTAGACAATGCAGGCTGATGACAATCTCTGTGTAGGCTAAGGCGTGCTATGTTTCCCAACAATCCAGTGAGGGTTTGTTCATTCGTAGCACAGAAGGGATGACAAATGTTCGCGTTTCATCTTCGCTTGCGTAGTTCTGGGTAGGGACAACCTTGAGATGGGCCGAACAGCCCCTTCACCAGTCAAGGAGACTTAGTAAACTTCGATGTCACAAGTTCAGAAAGTTGTTTCGAATTGCAACAGGCCAGGGAGCATCTTCCCGATTGTTGTGGAGAAAGTAAAAGAAAATATTTAGGATGTAACAACAAAATGTAATGTAGCTTGTGGCCAGTTTGCGGGACTCGTCTCTCAGTGGTCATGTGATAAGACGGCGCGCGGATCTTAATACTCATACTAATACTGCTTGCAACTTTAAGTGGGTTACCTGCGTTATCAACATCAACTTCATCGTCTCATTACTGACTCTGAGAAATTTCTACTTACTCAAGAACAGGTTCCATTTACGTAATGCTTGGAGGATACAGCATTTTAAGATCTGTACCGTCGCCATTACTGTAAATGATGGTACCCAAACAATGTTTCAAAACCGTATATATATATCTGTTATCTGGCTTCCTACCAAATGTCGCATGCATGGTCCAAATGTTTTTTTAATCTCCGTCCGACTGACAGAAAAACAAAATATACGTCTAGCAGGTTGATGTTCTGTATCCTACAGAAATATTACCTCAAGTAGTTGCGAGTTTCGAAAATATAATAGTGCACATCATTTCAACATCCTCAATGAAAGGGAGTTAATGTCTTTCGTCCCTCTCAAGTTTATGCATTCGCCATTTTGTAGTAAGCAACACTCGAGATCTCGAACAGTAACATAATTTCAGGTGGATGTGCCTACATACGCGTGTAGCCATAGACATACTGTAATCTATTGAAACTGCGTTCTCAGTAAACCGTTAAGTTCAACTGGAAGGTTTGGAGCACATCAGGAGAGTAATGTTACCATACAGCGATAGTTAAACTTGTGTATATAATGGGCGCAGTTACCAACCTGCGAACACTGAAAACAGAATCTGAGAAGAGTAATTTGGCTAAGAATGCTTCAAGCGACGGCATGTGCCGTCGTTGTGCTATTTCCTGCTTCCTTTCTCTTTAATGTCTCTGTCTGCAAACATGGCCACTTTCTGATTGGCTGCGATGGTTTCAGGTACAAAAGGAACTGGGAGTACCAAAGACTGACAACAGAATGAAGAGACTTGAAAAGGAAAACAGGAGACTAAGGAAGATCCTTAAAAACCCGACAGAAGTAAGCAGGTCTGCGTCATGTAAGAACGGTAATATTCTGTATGGAACAAAATACTAGGTTATAATGACTTGTAAAGTGGTGAAGTCAAGTTTGGAATGCACGTTAACATTCAAGTCTTACAGTTAACTGAAATACCCTACGCTACTTTGTTTAAATCTTCTGTTGTTTGTTACAGAAGCACTGGTTTGTTCCGTAACTTACTCTACCTGTCTTTATTGTGAGATATTTTTCTTTGTTTCATCCTTTTATTTCTGAACATGAGCTTATCCTGTGGCTGGTTTTAATGTCCTCAGGAGCGAGGGAAACAACTTGATGAGGAATTTGAGCCTCCCAGCATGCAAGACGCTCTCTGTCAGAAGAACTACATGAGGAGGATAAAGAGACAAAGCAGGAAAATGGAGGATTTCATTAAAAATCTAATAGCTGTAAGTACTGTCTATCGGAAGAACATAATTTGCATAAAATTTGGTCGCATTTATCTCAGCAACCCCAGTTTATAGAAAACTAAAACCCGAGCGTCACGTATTCCTGACTGGCATGAATAATAATTATGGGTTCTGGATTCGATGAATAAATTTATTAGGCACTCACGAGTGGTAAATAAAATTATTACAACGCTGTAAAGTTTACTGTAAATTTAGCACACAAAATGAAGTCTTCAACATCTGCATGGTAGTCGTTGCTTGGCATTCCTGAACCCACTGTGATATGTTCACCTTTCAGGCGCCTCGGAATAGAACAAGAGACCCTGACAGCACAGCCACTGGCGAGGGCAACAGCCCAGCGACTGGCGAGGGCGAGAGTCCACTGACCAGTGACGGCGAGTGCACAGCCACCAGTGAGGGTGACAGCAAGAGTACAGCCGATTGTACAAGATTAAAATATCGTTCTCCTCGTATCCCTCATTTAGTACTACTATATTTATTCTGGTGTTCAATTATTTCTTTTTACTATTTTCTTTAAGGACCAGTGTAAGGAGTCTGTGTATTCAGTTTTTAAATGCCGCTAATTGTAAAGGCATCATATATAGTATTTTTAGTAGCAAATCACACATAATTTTGAAACATGACACAAATTTATTAAATATGTTTACTAATATTATTATTTCTGGAATAAATATTCTTGTTTCATTTCTCTCTACAATCTCGAGATGGAGGGTGCATGTTCCTCGGAAACATCGGTACCAAAACTACCGAACTACATGGCGTTATAGCTCAAAAGTTACTTCACTTCTATACAAAACACTTCAGTAGCCCTGAACTGTGGACTCAACGACACTCACGCATCACAATNCACATTTTCTCTAGACAGTCAGCACACCAATCCTCCCGTCAGAGAGGATGTTTCATAAGGACTATTGAAGCAAGTATTCAGTTGAAAAAAAAATCTCGTCGTGAGACTCAAGATGCTTGTCGCCAAGACGAATTGATAGGTGGTAAACCGCCAGTCGTAAAGTAACTCTGACTATGACTCTGAAGAATAGTACAGTTGGAAGAGAGCCACCGTTCAGAGAGGGCTTGATCCCTGAAGCACAGGAATAACCATAGTTAGGAGCTGTTATCAGGAAACGGCTAGTGTAGACGATAATAGGCTGAGAATACATGCCTATGTGCACCAATGATTAATAAAGTCTGGAAATTAGCGATAGTGCTGTAGTTAGTTGTAGTTAAGACCCTTAAGTGGTCAATAATTTACATTAAATTGATATAATTATCATTTTTAATAAGATTTGCAAACAGTTTTATTGAGCGTTACCTGACTATACTCCGTGCCATTCGGAACCCACAGGAGCAAAGGTGATAATCCTATTCAACATTTTGAATTAACATCACCGAAAACTCACTTCAGACGTTCCACTCGCCGATAAGACATAATGAATTAAGGAAACAATGACAAGTAACACAACGGCAGTGACTAACTGTGTAACTTATCGTAACATCAACAGTGATGACACAAGGTGCGTTGGTGAAGCTGTAATGTCCTAGACCCATACTTGGGCAGTGATCGGTTTGAACCTCAGTTAGGACACCGGCTGTCCTACATAAGATTTCTCCCAGTTTTCCTCAGTTCCAGTGGGCAAATGCTGGGACAGTACCTTGATTACGTCATACCGATTCCATCCAAATCCTTTATAATTCATCATTCATCCTACCATTCGGTACTGAATGGTCTAGATGCTGAGAGGGTCATAACCTTCCCACGAAGACACTGGTTATTCGTAATAAAGTAAATTTAATGGCTTAGAGGATGTCATGATTTTCCTCAAATTCTTTGTCAGCACAGAACCTTCAGCCTGTTACATGCTTAGCTTGTCTCCACAGTATAACACGATTTCTCGTTCTGGGTGTAAACAGGGCTTCTAGATATGGAAGACAGCAGTGAACACACATATATTGGGTGAACAGTCACAGATAGCCGAAAACGGGTAGCTCTGCATCTTAGGAATTGGACGTACGGTTAACGAACTTTCATTATAATCTGTTCTATGTTCGGAAACTTCGAGGATGCTGATAGAATTTTTTTAACGGAAGTACTTTGGAAAATATTTGGATCTAAGGTTGAAGATAATATTACGCAACCCAGACTCACCTCCAACTATTGCCGAGATCAAGAAAATGTGGATCTATACATTCGTTCCCCACACGTCTTCATGGTGTATGCTTAATAAGTTAAGCACAGGGATAACTTAGCTCATTTTAGCTTTAACCCAGACCTTTGTGATTGATGTAGATCACCAAGTATATTCCGGATTCTGTGAGTCTCTGATGGGCTAGATATGCAGCTACGATGAATTATTCTATGGTATACATAACGACGCGCATGTACTGTCTTCGATCGCTTGGAAACTGGGATCATGGGTTCGAATCCTACTCAGGGCATGGATGTTTAGTTTGTGTGTGTGCATTTTTCTGTGTTTGTGTACATGTAGAGGCCTTGCGACAAGCTGATCACCCGCCCAAGGGGTCCTACCGATTGTGTAAGATCTAGAGAAACCGAAGTGAACAGAGAAGTTCATGGAGGTACGCTTAGGCCCACTGGGGCTGTAGTGCCAAGGGGGAAAAAAAAATACTTAATGACGCAGTCAGCAGATTAGACTACATGATGGCGAATGGTGGCATAAATGAATTGAGGAAGATATAGAAGGAAGCGTTTGTGGAATAATTTGAGGTACTCTCACAGGGAGGTACAGAGGGGCACGGTAAAACCATTCAATAACGCCAGTCAGGATAACCAACGTGCAGGCCAAGGCTCTAGCCCAGTGATTCTCAAACTTTTTACCTTTGAGCCCCCCCTGACAAGAGAAAATACTCTCAGGCCCCCAGCCTGTTTTTTATCAAAATAGAAGTCATGGTGTGTTTGACGTTATATTCAGTTTATTTTGTTTTTCTACATACTATTTAGCAGTTTTTTTTACTCAAAATTAAAGTATCACAATATTAGGCGTACAATAAAAATTAGTTTTAACACTTGCAATTAACCAAAATATGTATTGAAATGAAACGATATTTGACTAACAAGTATTTAATTTTTTTTCTGCAAAGAAAATCAAACATTTAAGTGTCAAAGTTCAGTGTGATGGATGGGCCTGCTTTTGAAAACAGAGTTTATCAAAACGTGGTGTAATATCAGAAATGGCCACTCTAACTTATTTAGCAATATTTAGTTTTGAGCTATACTTTGACTTTATAGCTGCCAAAGCCTGTCTCACATAAGTAAGTTGTTGGAAAGGAATCAGGATCTTCAATGCTTTTTGGCTCAAATTTGGGAATTCCTTGCCAATACATATCCAGAACTCCAACAAAGACAATTCCTAAAAATTTACTTTTTAATGAAGCGGCCTCCGTAGTCTAGGGGTAACGTTCCCACCTCATGACTCAAGGTACGCGGGTTCAAACCAGGCAGAGGTCATGGAATTTTTAAGGGCGGAAAAATTCGGGGAACAAGTCCTCCGGGAGGGACTTTAAGCCGTGTGTCCCGTGTCGTAGATTTACGGCACGTAAAAAAGATTCTCGTGTCTCTAGGAGACCTCTGAGCAAAATTTGGTAACAATTTCCCATCCAAGTAGTTTCCAATTTCTCTGGTAGATGGGGGAAATATCAGGTACCGACAGTAGAAATTAAAGGGGACTCATAATGGACCAATAACTGGTCTAAGTGCATGGAGAAACCCACCCCCTCTAATAATAATAATAATACTTTTTAATGAAGTAAAACTAGTAAGATCGATGAGTTGTTCTTGCTCATTTACATTCAGAGATGATGGCCCAGGAGCATTTTCGAATGGATTTTTAATCCAATTAAATTCATCAAAATCATTGCAAAAGTATTTCTCGAAATGAACTTTCAACATTATGAGATGATCAAGTAGGCAGCTTTTTATGTCCATTGGAAGCACTGGATTATCAACAGAAGAGTCACCCAACATTGTTGATACTATGTTAATCGCTGCTGGTGAAATCAGTGTTTCTGCAATTGTGTGTGGTTTCTTGCATTTAGCAGTTCTATGAGAAACCTGGTAAGAGGCTAAAAGGGCCTTACAAGTCATATTTGTTGTTTTAGCAAATTTCTCTTGTTTGGACTTTAAACCACTAAGCTTTCTGACCAAAAAAATCTTTTGGTTTATTTGTAAACTTCGGATGTTTGGTTTCAAGATATCTCTTTAATTTATTAGGTTTCATATTATCTGCAGCTAAAATACTTAGAAAGATTACACATTGCGTAAATTCTTCATCATTGATCATAGTTTTCGTAAAGCCTAGTGATAAATAGTTCTCATCGTAACTTCTTGTTTTCACACTCCGAGTAGCTTCTTTCCCACCACTAGTTGAAGGAGCACTGGTGTCTTCATTTCTATCACTAATCAGGAAACGCTTCATGATCAATTGTTCATAATCAAGTCAACTTCAAGAGGTAAACAAATAAACACAACTGCACTGCAACATTGAATGCATAAGAACACAACATCAAACAGGCATAACCGTCGATCACCATTGGGTCTGGCGACAAACTGCCTGCTCCTTGCCCAACAGGCTCCAATGAGATGACATAAGTCACTGCTTTCAGTTGCGCGTGTACAGTTCTGCCTGGAAGAGGATGCGGCTGCTGCCAAACTATCAACGCTGTCTCTGGCATATGTGTTTTATAATTGCCGGTAAAGAGAATAATTATTAGTAATTTTGATATTCATGACAATTAAAGCCTGTACTCATCAAAAGTCTTTCTATATGTATTTTTATTTTTTGTTACTTTTCTAATTGATTTAGGGCAGTTTTAATTTTTATCTGTAGGAAAGTATGCTGCGCCCCCCTTTCAAGCCCTTCGCCCCCCCCTGGGGGTCGCGCCCCACAGTTTGAGAGCCACTGATGTAGGGTATTGGTGGGAAAGCCAGAAAGAAATAGACCGCTGGGAAGACCAAGGTGTAGGGGGAGTGGACAATATTAAAATGGATCTTTGAGAGATGGGATGGTATGGATTGGAATGATCTGGCTCAGGTTATGGACCACTGCAGGCTCTTGTGAACACAGTGATGAACCTTCGGGTTCCATAAAATGCTTGGAAATTTTCAAGTAGCTGTAGAATTGGCGGCTCCTCAAGAAGGGCTAAGCTCCATGAGTAAATAAGTAAGAACATATACAGCCTTTAATAGCATTGCAGCATCTTTTATGTCATTTCAGCGTCTTGCACTCAAAAAGCATCAGTTCTAACATTCTGTCCTTGAGAAGAGATTTCCACATGACAAAGCTTTGCCTTACCGTCAGCAATCAGCTCAAAGAATTCTTCCTCCAGCTGAACTCTGAACTACAGGGACTTAAAATGTAGTATTTAAGAGACTAAAGATTTTCCTCTGGCATATATGTACTCAGTCAGCAGTTGCAGCCTTATGCAATAAAGGTCATATGTGTAATTCACAGTGTTTGTCTTTTCACACTCACTAACATGTGAAGTACTAACGATAGATAATATAAATACAAGGGTTTGTTGATCAGTATTTGTTGTAACATTACTTATATTACTTCAATGTTTATTGCCTCAGGCAGTGTGATGAAACGTGTCATTTTTACACTTTTAAATTATGCAGATGGTGACTTGTTTCACTTGTGA